CACATCATATGTGTTCTTTTGAGCTAGGATTCTATCAATCTTAAATAATGAGATTCAGATTTGTTCAAGGGAAAAGCATGAGAATAGTCACCTGGAAACACTGGCTCCAAACAAATGGGATCAGTGTTCCAAATAAAGAAGTTAAGGTTTCACTTAGGTATTTTAGCAGGATTAGGACATTTTCCATACAAAATCAGTGCATATGCCACAGCAAAGTGATTGGTTACAGATTGCTACATTCCAAGGAAGATTACTTTGAGAGGGGTAGTGGTCTGAGGGACTGGATGTTTTGTCTCTGGTCCCATTTTATCTTAATTATTTATAGGGAAAAAGGACAGACGCTGCAAGCTGCAGGGCATATGACCCAGGCCTCATAGCCACAATCTTCTGAAGGTTTAGGATCCTTTAAAGTTCCAGCTTTGTCACCCAGGCTGAAATGCAGTGGTGTCATCATAGCTCCCTGCAGCCTCAAATTTCTGAGTAGCTGGGACTATAGTAACACTTCACCACACTTGGTTAATTTAAAAATTTTTTGTAGAGACAGAGTTTCGCTTTTGTGCATGCTGGTCTTAAACTCCTGGCCTTAAGCATTCCTCCCACCTAAGCCTCCAAAGTGTTGGGATTATATGCAAGGGTCACTGCACCTGGCTTAATTTCATGGTTTTCTCATTCAGCATGTGTTTGAGATTCTTTCTGTTGTAGGGTGTCATTCATTTTCATTGCTGAATATTATTCCATTGTATAAATGCAGTAGAACCTCCATGGCTGACCACCTCTCTACATTGACCACTTCCTTAAGCTGACCCAATTTTCATAGACCAGACATAAACAGATGTACATATCGGTACAGTGAACCTAGTTCCTTATATTCATCGCCTTCTTATGTTGCCCAGTTTGTTATAGTCCCTTGGGTGGTCAACTTACAGGGTTAATATATATTCAATATGTTTTTATCCACTTACCTATTAAAAGCCTCTTGGGTTGTTACCAGTTAGGAGACATAATGAATTAAAGTGTTATGAACTTCAATGGATAAGTCTGTGTGGATGTAGGTTTCACTTTTCCTATGCTCACGCCTGATGCCTTGTTACTTGATGTGGAATTGTAACAAGCTTTGGGTTTTCCCAGAACTAAATATGATTCTCAGCCACTCTCACTTTGAGGCGTGAGAGAAGTATTGTATAGAGTATACCAAACAACATGATATACTGGTGCTGTAATACTTGGGGCTCCCATGGGTTAATTTGTTTAAATTCCTCAATACCACGAGTAATTTGCTGAACAGGAAGAACTACTGTCATAATCCAAATGCAATTCTACTTTTGTTTCCTTTTTTCCTTTAAATTTCTTAAAAAATGTGAGTCACCTGGCTTGGTGCCTGTGGCTCAAGTGGCTAAGGCGCCAGCCACAAACACCTGAGGTGGTGGGTTCAAATCC